CTCTCCCTACCCCTGGAGTAATAAAAAATAATAAAAAATCCCGAACCCTTTTCTACGTACGTACCGTACATACATACATTTATTTATTTATTTTTTAATAGTTTACTCTAGATGTTGAAAGATGATATAAACAGGTACAACCTTGATTCGCCTTTAAACAAGTTTTTTTTTTTTTCTTATTATAATTAAATAAATGTTGTTATTATTATTATTAATATGTTCAAGGACGTGATATAATCGTTTTTCTATTTTTTCTCGCTCTCTTGATTTTTCTTTTTTTTTTTTTTTACGTTTATTAAACGTATTAAAAAACTCTGTCGTTTTGTTTTTGTTTTGTTTGTTTGTTTGTGTTCATCGTTTCTTGTTCGGATTTGAACACACGCATGCATGCACATTTGTTTGTTTGTTTTTTTCCTGTCGTTTTTCTCATTTACCGTTTATTTTTGAATTTTGTACATGTATAATTACGATAAATGATTTTGTTACGCGCGTTTTTAAAAATAACACAAACAAAAAATGGCGAATTCCTGCGATCGTAAGCAAAATGAAAAATCCTGAATATTAATTATTATTATTATTATTATTATTATTTGTTTACCGTTTAACGGGATCCAGATCGCATCTCTTGTTTTTTTTTAAATGTTGTTTGTTTAAATATTAAAAAAACGAGGAAGTGGAAGGGGGTAAAAATCACCCCTTAAAAATCAATTTTATTGTGTTTCGTTCAACATAAACAAAAAAAAAAAACAAAAACACAACAAGTTTGTAAACAAAATAATTTTAATATACTCGTGACAATTTTTTTTTTTTAATGAAATAAACAAATTATACAAATTAGATGAGGGGGTGGTTTAAAGAGGGGATGAACGGGGGGTAAAAACGCGGCCTATCGTACATTAATTTAGTATTTATTAATAAATATTAAAAAGTTATGGTTTCGAATTAATAGTCAGAAAAAAAAGGGAGGATGATGTGATGTGATTGTCGGTAAAAAACAGGATAAATGATAATGATAATGATAATGATAATAATAATAATAATAATAATAATAATAATAATAATAATAATAATAATGATAAGAAAAAAAAGGGCATTTGTTATAAATAAAAATAAAAAAAAAAGAAAATTTTCCACTCAAGTTTGATTTTATCCATTTTACATAATTCTGTAATTTTATATCATCGTAAAAAAATTTTTTATTACTCGCTAATCTCGGATAAGCTTTTCTTCTTATTCTTTTTCTTCTTTTTTTTTATTTCCCTTTCCCCTCCTTTTTTTAAAATGATAATAATAAAATTGTAACGTATATTTAGGTAAAGGTGTTTTTCGTGTTTAAAATAAGAAAAAAATTACAACCGTTAAAACGCGTCCATTTTTTTTTTGCAAGTCGAGATCATGATGGTTTTTAAATCGAATGGAAATCATTTGTAGGATTTTATTGATAACTCTTATCATTATTATATTCGTTTTCTTTTCCAAGGCTTTCCTTTAGAAATCATAAATTTTTTTTTTGTATGAAAAACATTGGGGGGGGGGGAATTACGTAACTTTTAAGGTGGTGGCGTTAATAAAAAAAAGTTTTTTGTAATATTTCAAACGAACACTTTATCGCGTTTTTATAACCTTTATTTCATATTTTTCCCGCTCTTTTTTTTTTTTTTTGATAATAATAATAATGATGATGATGATTGTAAAAAACAAACAAACAAACAAACAAACGCAATCCGATAAATTTTTAATTGGTTTTTTTATTTGGATTCCCGTGGAAAATTTTACCAAAAAAAAAATTTTTTTCCTTTTTTTCTTTTATTTGTTATGACGTAATTTAATAATAAAAAAAATAATAATGATAATAATAATTTTAAAAGATCTCTTATATATATTATTTAAAAAGAAAAAAATTACGTAATAAAACGGAATAGCTTTTATTATTATTATTATTATTATTATTACATTTAAATGTAAAAGTTAATATTCATTCTTTTCTCGACGTCTTTTTTTCTTTTTTTTTAAAATTTTCTGGTAAAAACAGAAGAAGAAAGAAAATTTGAAATGTTGGGAAAAGGGTAAAAAAAAAGGGAAAGAGAGGGGAGGGGTAAAAGGAAGGAGGAGGAAAAGGGAAAGGAAGGGGAAAAAACTCGAAAAATAATCAACCCTTAAGAAAAACCGTGTCGAGTATCATTTTCGTCTGTTGGTGAAAGGAGACGGAAAAGGAAAAAAAAAAATTAAAAAAAAAATTTTTTTCCCTTCCTCTTTCCCTCCCCTTCCCCCTCAACTCCTCCTTCCTCTCCCACTCCCCCTCTCCCTTATCCTCCTTCCTTTTTTTTATTTTTTATTTTTTGCGAGAAGAAAATCTAAAAAATTCGGTAGAATGAATTTGAATTTTTTTTTCCTTCTTTCTTAAATGTATATTCCTTTCAATATCATCCCTTATTATTATCATTATTATTATTATTGTTTTTGTTTTGTTTTTCATTTGAAAAAATATACGTCAGTCGCATTTAATTTTACACAGCTTGTTACTCTTTATTATTATTATTATTTTTATACGATTTCCGCCATTTTTATCGTCGAAATCGACGTAAAAAAAAAAAAAAATGGAAAATTTTTTTTTCTTTATTAAAACATAAAACGACGAGAAATTTCGAGATAAATTAGTTAAAAATCAATCGTTAAAAAAAAAAAAAAAATTTTTTTGGGCTTCCGAACGACGTAACAACACAACAACAACAAACAAATTTTTTTAATTAAAAAAAAAAAAAAATTATTCAATTATCAGTTTGAAAGAAAAAAAAAAAAAATTTTTTTTTCAACGTTTAATAATAAATTTACTTGTTATACACGTGATGATGATCCATTCAAAACAACAAGAACAACAACAACAACAACCAAAAGTTTAAAAAAGAAGAACCGTGGGAAATAATAATAATATAAAAAAAAAAAAAAACGAGACGAGAAGGGAAAGGAAAGATGAAGTTTTTTTTTTAAAATGATGGTAACCGGTAGTTAAGTAGTTTTTTTATTTTGTTGGTGCCCCGACGTTTATTTTTTATTTTTTCTTCTTCGTAGGCGTTTTGCAATTTTTTTTATTAAATTTCAATAACCTTTGGTTTTTTTTTTTTTTTAAATCAGGAAGTCGATTATTATTATTATTATTATTATTATTATTATTATCCGAAGGCCATTTTTATTCGTCAAAAAAAAAAAGAAAAAAAAATCGAATAAAAATCTGCCAAAAAAAAAAAAAATTTGACTCGAGGATAATAATTATTAAATAAAATAAGTTGATTTTTTAAAAATTTTCGTGGCATTAACAACTCAATTTAAATACTCACGTAAGTTTTTATGTTTTGAAAAAAATCAATATTTAAATGATAAATAATAATTAAAACTTTATTATTATTATTATTATTTCTCATTTATTTGCTTACGTCGAAATAAAGTAAAAAAAAAATTTTTTTTAGCTGAACTCGTGAAAAAAAAATTTTTGTTCAACCCTCGTTTTGGTGACTTTCAAAGAGTGGAAACAGGAAAAAAAAAGATTCAAAAGTAAATTTTAACTTTTTTCTTTTTTTTTCTTTTTCTTTTCTTTTTCTTTTTCTTCTAATTAATGTGAATTCAAAAGAAAAAAAAAGAAAAAAAAAGAAAAGCAAAGCAGAAAAAAAAAAATTCAACTCAAACGAATTTAATAAAAAAAAATTTTTTTTACAACAATTAAAAAGTAAAAAATCTTTTGTAAGTTTTACTTTTTTTAATTTTAATTTTAATTTATGGTTTTATTTATTTATTAAAAAAAGTAGCATGGAATAAGAATGTAATAATAATAATAATAAAAGGAAGAAGCAGTTTAATAATAAAAAAAAAATTAAAAAAATTTAATTTAAAAAGTTACGAAATTAAAAAAATTAAAAAAAAAAAAACTTTTTCGTTATTTATTTATTTATTAAAAAACAATCGAAAGATTTTTCTAAATACAAAAACAAAAAAAAAATTAAATTACTTAACATTTAAATGTCGGTTTCGTAATCTACAAAATCATTATTATTATTATTATTATTATTATTATTATTTGTTAAAATAAAAAAATTAATTTTTAATTTTATTTAAAAAAAAAAAAAAAATTTAAGAAAAAACGCCTTAAATTATTAATTTATGCAATTTCGCTACTTGCACGTAATTAATTTTTGCGAATGCATATTTACTTTTTTTTTTTTTTTTTTTTTTTTAACACGATTTTGCGGTAACAATAATGATAATAATAGTGTATTAGTAGAGTTTTTTTTTTTTACCGGGAAGGGAGAGGGGAGGTGTGCAAAAAAACTATTATATTTATTATAAAATTAAAAAAAAAAAAAGCGTACACCGTGGAAAATTGTATATATAAAAAATGGATGGCAAATACCTGAAACTGCGGCGTTTGTTGTAAAAAAAAAAATAGAAAATCAAAAAATTTAAAACGAGTATAATAAATCCGATTTGAAAAGGCTCGAGTTAAAGTTATTATTATCATTATTATTATTAATAGTATATATTTTTTTAAATATAATAATAATTACGGTTTATTTTATAGTTTATAGGTTTTCCTTTAGATATTTATAGTTATTTTAATAAAGGATGATTGTCCAGACGTAAAGGTAATTACTTAAAAAAAAAAGTTATTAAAAAACTCTTTTTGTTGTTATCCAGCATTTGCAAGGATGATAATAAACGATGGAAACGGCTGGAGAAATGATTTTTCAAACGCCATCGCTCTTCTTTTAAGGAAAAATAATAATAATAATAAAAATAATAAAATTGACTAATTCCACGTTGCAAAAAAAAAAAAAAAACTAAATAAATAATATAAAAAAGGGGGATACACCAGGAAATAATAAAATAAAAATAATTTTGATATCATAGTCAGACAAAAAAAAAAAAACAAAAACAACAACAACAAACAACAACAACCACGCCTACTCATTTAATTCTTCTGGCTATTGAAAAACAACAAAAAAAAAAAAATGGAAAAGTTTTTTTTTTTTTTTTTTTTTGTAAAGAAATCAAATCGTGACATGGAATCCAAGGTTGTTGAAAATCTATGAACTTGATGTTGGAATAATTCTTCAGAGTTTTATTTTTTCTAATGGTGGTAAATGGATGGATGGATGGATGGATTTCTTCATCATCAATCGTTTGTTGTTAACTCAATGCCAACAAAAAAAAAAAAAAATTGTTTTATTTAGATTGTTTGTCGAATGAGGTTGGCAAAAGTATTTATTATCCGTTTGTTGGAAAAAAAGAAAAATGAAATCATACACTTTCGATAAGAATATTGTTATATTTCGAGTAGACATAATGTCTGCTTGAAATAAATAATAATAATAATCCATCGAACGATTGTTTGTTCGTTCGTTTGTTTGTTCGTTTGTCCTTGTTGTATTATAATAAATTGTATGCGGTTTCCTCCGGATGAAAATTTTTAGTTTAGGTTAATTAATTTTTTTTTTTTTTTTTATGATTTACTGTTAAAAAGTTTAAACCAGTTTGTTGTTGTTGTTGTTTGTTGTTTTAATAATTATTTAAGCCGTATAATTAAAATATTAGATTAAAAGTTTTTTTTTATTAATAATAATAATAATTCTTAAAGGCATGGCGTAATATCAAAAAAAAAAAAAAATTTTAATTTGATTATCTAAAAAATCACATTACAAAAAAGAAAAAATTTTTTTTCGTGGCAATTTGCCTTTTCTTTTACCACCGTAATAATAAGTAAGAGGGAGAGAGAGAGAGTAATAGATGAGATAACAATGTTTGTTGTTTGTTTGTTTGTTTGTAGAGAAAGGAAATAAAGATTAAAAAAAAAAAAAAATTACGTGTTTGGTGCCTTTGAGTCTGTCTGAGTTTATGCGATTACTAAGTAAACTAACGTACTTGAAAACAAGTGCCGTAATCAGGTAGTCGAGAGAGAGAGAGAGAGAGAGAGAGAGAGAGATTGTAATAAGCGACGACAATGACTGTCGGTAATAAATAAATTAATATTTTCCCTTTTTTTTTTTTTTTGAAATTTATTTATTTTTATTTACAAACAAGTTGGCAAAACTTACTTACCGTCAGTCAATTATATTTAAATTTAAAAAATGACGTAATAAAAAATATTTGACGATTATTATCATCATCATCATCGATTATTGTTCATTCGTTTTGGATAACAAATTTAATTTTAAGGAAAAGGGAGGAGGGAGGACGGTAAGGGCGAAGGGAAAGATTCGGGGGGAAAAAAATTACCTAATTTTCTCTTATTCGGGTAGTAATAAAAAAAGAAAATAATAAAATCACGTTGTAAAAAATATTAATTAATAAATATTACCTTTGAAAAAAAACGCGGGTCGAGGGGTGGATTGGTGGAAAGGGAGGGAGAGAGGGAGGGAGGGGAGAGTAATAAATTTTTCAAAAACGTTTTAACCGAAAGCGTAAAAGTCTATATAACTAAAATAATATTAATAATAAAAAAAAAAAAAAATTAATAGGGAAACAAAAATAACAACAACAACAAACAATTACAAAGCCTGAAAGGAAAAAAAAAAAAAAAACTCTTAAAAAAGAAATTTTTTTTTTTTACGAGGTTCGGCTTAATAAAAAATTAAAAGATTAGCCTTTCAAAAATTTTAGGCAGACCCTAAAAAAAAAAAAGGTAATAAAAACAAATTAATAACGTTATTATTATTATTATTATTATTATTATTATCATCATTAAAAAAAATATATATATATATATTTTTAATAAGATCGTAAATTTTTTTCTCTCTCTCATCTTCTTTTTTTCTTCTTTCTTTTCTTCTTTGGAAATTTTTTTACGATTTGTAGCCTTATTATTATTATTATCCCTATTATTATTATTATTATTATTATTATTACTATCGTTTTTCTTTATTTAACATCTTCCTTTTTTCTTTTTTTTTTTTTTTTTTTTTCAATCCATTCACAATTTGAAAAAACATAAAAATTTTTATCCCGATGTTTAATAAAAAAAAAAAAAATTGTCCGTTTTCTTAATTTAACAAGGGAAATTTTAACGGAAATTATTACGTAATTTTTTTTTTAACTTCCGGTTTCTATCGGGAAAATACCACAAAAAAATTGTACCGTAAGTAGGAGTTTTAATGGCATAGACGGTTCGGGAAAATTCGACGCATTTAAAATTTTTTTTTTTTTATAAAAACTTAAAAAAAGCCTAAATTTGACTGTTTACGATTCGAAAAAATAATTATTAATAATAATAATAATGATGATAATAAAAGAGAAATAACGACAAACGGAAATGAAGACAAAAATTAATTTTGTTTTTTTTAAAAACCGTTTGTTGTTGTTTTTGTTGTTAATTAAAAACAAAAAATATGAAAAAGATTTTTTTTTTTTTTTTTTTTTTGCAATTTTAATTGCTATTAATTTTAAGATTGTTATTGGAAAGTTTTAAAAAGAGAGAGAAAGAGAGAAAGAAAGAGGGAGAGTGAGAGAGAGAGAAAGAAAGAGGGAGAGTGAGAGAGAGAGAGAAAAAAGTCAGAAAAATAAGTGTTAATTGGAAAAAAAAGGAAAAAAGGAAATAAAAAAAAGGAAAAGGAAAATTTGACTTTTTCAAATTCGATTTAAAAATTAAAAAAAATCAATCGTTGTAAAATCATCATTCCTTTATTATTATTATTATTGTATTTAAATAAAAAAAAAAACGCCCATGTAAATACTCATTCACCTTTTTATCATCATCATTATCATCATTATTATCATCGTCAATAATTTTTTTTCTTTTTTTTTCCGCGTCCTTTTCTCGCAGCAAATATTTATTTAAAATTTTAAGGTCGTTATTACTCCGCACGGCAACAACCTGATTAACGTTTTTATAGTAATTTAAATGCGTCGTCATCTCTCTCTCTCTCTTTCGCACTCACTCACTCACGCGCCCGAACACACACTCTCTCTCTCTCTCGCACTCCCTTTTCTTCTCATTTATCCATTGAATTTCGTCCATCGGAAGGATTCGTAATTAATTAAATAATAATTTTATTACGTAATAATAATTAAATATTTACACGATTTCGTACATACATATATATTAAAAATCCTTCAATATCGATCGCGCACACACACACACACACACACACACTGCCACCGCCATTTTTATTATTATCATTATTATTAGTTTTTGTTATAATGATTTGGCAAAAAAAAAAAAAAAATAAGAAAAAAAGAAAAAAAAATTTTTTTTTTTTTTTTCTTAATTTCCCACTAATTGTTTTTACTTTAAAAAGTGTTTATCAAAATGAATAATAATAATAATGATAATGATAATAATAATAATAATTTTTTGTTGTTGTTGTTATCCGACCGAATTGTGCGTAAACCGTGTCCAAGGTTAAAATCAGCGTAGGTAAATTTGACCTTCTTTACTGGAGGCACGTCTGTTTAGAAAAGTAAAAAAAATTCTATTGGCGTTCCATAATGCGGTTAAATTAATAATAATAATAATAATAATAATAATAATAATAATAATAAATGTCAAGAGTTTATTAACTTTAAGGTTATTACTATCGGTAAATTATCATTATAAATAATAATAATAATAATGACTTTTTTTTTTTATTTCGTATTTTACATAATAATCCTCCTCATGGTGAACTCATAGTGAAATGATTGAAAATTTTTTAAATGGAACGTACTGGAGATTTTTTTTGGCTCTGGAAAACACAAAAAAAAATTAAATAAACTGGAATTTGTTTTTGGGGTGGGAAAGGAGTGGAAAGAGAGGAGGGGGATTTTCGAGTCGAAAACTTTTTTTCTTTTTTTTTCTATTTTCCTTCGGGTGTTGGAAAAACCTTTACTGTCGCCCGTATCACACGCTAATCCTTTTCCACCATATTAAATTTAGATTTTTCTCCAGTTGGGTTTTTTTTTTCCTTTCGTTTCTTACACGGATTCCAGTTATCCAATTTTATCTCTCGGTTTTGAATTTTACATTTTTTTTTTTAAAACGAGGAGCTTAAAACTTTACGTTACACGTGACATCTCTTATCACCTTCTCGTTCTTATCCGTTTTCCCCCTTAGTTAAAATCCGTTTTTTATTACTCATAAACCATCGTGGTACTAGTTATTATTATTATTATTCATCGTGGAACGAACAAGCGTG